TTGCTTCTCATGATGACAGGTACGGAATATGCATAGTTGTTAAAAACACTTTACACCTGGTTGTGCTTAGTCCTTCACTATCAGTACTATTATCTAATTGTTCAGTGTGTCTTGACAGTGTGCTATGTGTTCAGCTTTAGGCTGACTTTCACATATTATATTGTAACAGTAACACGAAACAAATGTCTGTTCTTGTACATACTGTTTGCTGCATTGAATTAATTTTGGACAATTTTCTTGGCCACTTTAACCAAAACTAAAGTAGTAAATCTATTTCAAATGTCATCACTTGCATTGAGGGCGAAAACAAATGTTTTACTAAGGTTTTTTTATGCTTTCCTAATCGTTGACTTATCCCTAAATGATCTTGTAAGTCTGAGGAGCACTAGCATGAACAAACCTTATCAGGTACCATTCTGTTCTTTTTTTTATTTTTTCCCTCTTAATGTCATTGTGGCATATAGGCAGTTGTGTACTTGTGCTGGTATACTTGTAACACTGCTTGGACTGCTAAGTTTGTAAGTTAGAGAAGCAAAATTATGCTTCAGAATGTGGGGATCATCTTGTAATGGACAACACAGTACTAAGCTTTTGGTGGGTGGAGCGGAGTGTGCTAGTGCTTTTGTTGGTTTTTACCAAATCTTCCTAGTCTTGATACTCAGTCAGAAGAACATAGTAGTAAAGGTTTTTTTCTCCATCCAGCTTACCAAATTATGCTTGGATGAGCCATTTCTAGCTTTGTCAGACAGCTAGTGCAGTTTAATTCTAATAATAATTTGCACTTTTTCTGACCGTGGAATTGTCAAGTTCTTTGCATCATGGGCATGTCTATTTTGTTGCATCATACAGTCGTGTACCTGGCTGCAAAATTGGATATGCAAAATATAAATGAAGTGCTCTGTATTTCATATCCTTGTTAAAATGTCACAACTCCAGTCTCTTTAGTAATAATGTAGAAAAAATGTGTAATATCATTTTATATTATGTAGGAGAGATCAAGTTGGAGTAGTTTACACACTAATATTTTGCATACAGGCAGCTTTTATATATAATGTTATGTAGGTGCAGTAATTTTAAGATTACTGTGGAAGTGAGCATTGCATTAACATATGTGTCTTTGCTAAAGTTATCTCTGTGCAGTGTTTCAACTAGCAAAAAGCTTATTTTCAAATACATAGATATCTTGGAATTTTCTAAATTAGTGTCATAACTTGTTTAACAATAAAATGGTAGCCACAGTTTTTGTTACAGGTGTTGACAAAGCAAACAACTAAGTAATGTGCATAACACTATATTGCAGAATGCAGATATTAATATTAAGCAGAAAGGTATATCTGAATAAGTTGGGTTTGAATCCATAATAAATACTGTACTTTTTAAAAAAAAACAAAAACAAAAAAACAAGCCACTTACCGCTACAAATATCTCAGAATCTATTAATTCTGTGTTTGGAAGGTTTTACACTTTCATTTTGGTATTTTTGTCTTCCAGTGGGGAAAAAAGCCTCCCATAAAAATTATGTGCAGTAAATAAATGAATGCTGCTTAAAACTGTATTTTTTAAAGTTAATAATGGGTCAAAAATCAAGTAATTTTCCAGTGTTTAAATTTCTTCCTGTAAGCAAGTTACTTTTGGATGGTAAGAATATGTAGTTTTCTAGGTCTTTAAACAATTTTCAGCAAAGAAGACTACTATAACTGTCTTTGAAATGAATGTTACAGATTTTTATTACATCTTGCTGATAAAACTGGAGGTGTTATTGTGACTAACGATAACTTCAGAGAATTTGTGACAGAATCATTTGCCTGGAGAGAAATTATTCAGAAAAGGTAATTACTTAGATTTCTATAAAGCCTTGTAGGATGTCTGTCCTTAAAGTTGCAGGCACTCTAATTAAAAATTTTAAATTATAATTCCACACGAAGTTAACCTATGATGCAATTCTTCTAGAGCACAAGAAGTTACTATTAGTTTCACCCCTTTGATTTGTGACCTTCTAATTGTGTGTTGAGTAGCCTGATATCCCTGTTATTCACGGATCTTCTAATGCATGTCTGTTAATTGCTCATCTAAGTAGAAGCCCTCTATGGCAGCCGAGCTGTGTGCTTCTGAAGTTTGTGTTACATTCTGCTAAGAGTACACACTTAGCAAGCTGCTCTCGTGGTCTTTTTTTGTCAGTTCATTTCTTCAAGGAGATACAATGGCTGATGCAGAGACAGTGTCACTATTAAAGTTTCAGAATCACTCACTCTGCACTGCAGTACAGCAAATAGACATAGCTAAGCAAAATAATGCTTATCCCTCACCTGTTTCCCTACAACTGTTGGGCATCCTGTGGGTTTAGATGAGTTCACTTAGCTGTCAAATATCTCTGTTTCAATTTGTGAATTCTCTATGGGTCATAGTTTCTCTTGTGCAACCAGTTTCTTCCTTTTTCTGACTCCTTCTCATTTTTTTTCTTCCAGTTAAATCAGGTCCTCTTAATAGAAAGTACATTCTTCTGTTCAGTTTTGACCAAATTTCCTATTAATCCCTCAGTCTTTGTGACATTCTCTGAGCAAACACTTCCTGCAGTGATTGGGTTCTGTATTTATACACTGAAATAACTGAAAACTGACTTGGGTTCTTGTCTAGTCACGTGCACATTTTCACTCTTAAGTGAGTTCTATGAAAGTCAGGTTCTGTTCTCATACAGTACTTCAGTAAGAATACTTAACGTCATTTTTAGTCTGTTTTTGTTTTTTTCTTCTTTTAAGATCATGTGTTAACATCTGCTGTTAGTTTTACTTCTGGGGAAATTCCACTATACCACATGTCTTCACAGACAAATTTTAGTTGATTGAGTTTCCCTGAATGCAGGTTTCCCACCAGCCCAAAATAATTCCAGAAAAAAAACAAAATGTTTGTTTCAACCATAAGCATCTAAAAATGTTTGCTAGTTGTGTGGCTTTCTGATAACATAAGCACTAATTGTTTCGTGTTTCAAGATCCTTACAAAGTAGGGGAGTTTGAACAACCAGAAAATCTTCTGTAATCATCTGGAAAATTCCACACTGGTCTTTGTTTAAAAAAAAAAAAAGCAGTCACCTGATGTATGCTGTTCGTAAAAGGAAAGAAACTCAACCACCTCAGTGTTTTGCAGTGCAAATAAGAACAGTGTACATACGCTCCCTTAAAGTTACTTTGACAGTGATTGCTGGCTGCAATTAAAATGGGTATTCACTAGTTGAGCTCTAGTAACTCCTGATGTTATATGGGGTGTTTGTTCTAGGCATATACTCCTTTTTTATGGAGGTAAAGGGTGGGAAGGGGAGAATACATTGGTAGTAAAGAATAATGGAAGAATTCTCTTGCAGGTTGCTCCAGTACACTTTTGCTGGGGACATTTTTATGGTTCCCGATGATCCCTTGGGAAGAAATGGACCTAGATTAGATGACTTTCTTCAAAGTGAAGGCTGTTCTAGGTATAATTTCTGTTTTCACTTCTGTTTGAGGCAGTTATGATTTCAGATGGGAAATGAACTGTTTGTGACTCACTTGAACGTTTCTGTAGAGCAATATAGTAAGGGTACAGTAAAATCAGACAAGAATGCTAGCAGGTAGTAGCTTAAAAACATGGGTATTTTTTTCCTGTTACTGCAGACTGTTCAGAAAGTGCTGGTGACATTTGCATCAACATCTCTCTCACAACTGAAGATAAATGCCTCAAATAACTTCCTCTGGGGTTTCACTGTGGTGGTTTTTATACAAACGTGGTGCAAACTGTATGTCATTATTGCACAAACCTACTGGTAGTTGAGATATATGGTAGTCTGGTGTCCTTCCAATTACAGTGGCGTATCTAAAATACACTTATTATTAACACTTGAGCAATAGTCACCACAAAACACTATTTCGTATCTTTTGTCACAGGAGAGGCATTTCATTTCACATGTGGTTATGGTACTGTTAATAAAACCATTTTGGAGGGGTGTTGCTATTTAAAGGCATTTGTTCTTAATTTACAATGTTAAATATTAATAAGCTTATGTTGTTATGATTGTACTCTTTAAATATGCATGTATTTCAGAAGGATGAATTTGCTCTGCATTGTGTCAATATTTGAAAATGGATTTGTTCTTTTAAACAAGAATTAGGCTTCCATTTTTTTTTTCACCAGCCTAATAATTATAAATGGATTAATGTATAACTTAAAATAGAGCTCTGTAATTTTAATACAGTTTCCCTTGGTAGCAGGAGAACAAACTAATGTGAGTTCTAGTTCATATTTCTGTGTTATGTGCTGGTATGTGAAGTGGAATTGGCTCTGAATTGATAGCAGCTTTGAGAAGCATCAACTTCTTAAATAGTCTGAAATGAAATATCAATGATTAAGATAGAATACTCAGATCCTAAAATTGCTGAAAAACTTCACTGCCCCATTAAAGATAAGGCAATGTTTTTTCATTTTACAATCCAAAATGTGGACACAGATAGATGAATGATCTTGCGGAGCGGCTGAAGTGTCTGCTGTCTGTCCACGTCTTCACATTCTGAATCAGTATATATGTGTTCAACACATCTTTTAATCTATTTAGATCAATGACATTTGTGTGGATATTTCCAGTAAATGAGCTTTGACTGTTGCTATGCTCTGCCAGGTAGGTGTCAGTGCTCACGGTGTATTGGAACAAGTCCTAGGTAATGTTTAATATTGTTAGTCATGCCAGATTCAAGCTGAAAGATGTTATACCTACAGTTTTGTTTCACTTTGGAATCAAGTGATTCATATTTTTTTCAGTCAGTAATTGAGCAATCAGTGAAGTACAGGAGTTGTATGCTTTCTTTTCTCTGGCTGTACAGAGACAGTGTTCACTCTATCTCAATTTAATCAGTTTTCTTTTTATTCCATAGAAATTTTCTGTCAGCACAAAAAGCTTTACAGAGCAGAGAGCAGTATTCTTCTGAGACACCTTTCTTCATGCATGTTCCCAATCCAACCAGCAGCAGTCAACAGCCTAAAAATCGAGCACACGGTGATCGTTCAGCAGCATGGCTTCCATTGGATACAAGTATGAAGGCTTGTCTGTCAATTCCACCACAAAGATCTGCCTCAGAAACAGTACGATTAAGAGAAGCCCTGATAAAAATATTTCCTGATTATGAGCAAAGACAGAAGATTGATAAAATTTTAGCTGATCATCCATTCATGAGAGATCTTAATGCACTATCTGCCATGGTGCTTGACTGAAGATTACGAAGGGTTTTTATATCACAACTGATCAGACTAAATGTCAGTATGAGTAAGAATGTTGCTCTGTCATGTTACTTTGTGAATATTCAGAACCTAATTTTATTTGTATAAACAAACATTTTTATGTATGTCCTGTTGCTAATAGATGCCAGTTTTTGGTAAATTAAAAACTGCTGCTACTACAGATCTGTGTTAATATTTTCTATGAAAAATCTTCCACTTCATTTTAATTGCTTATTAAAGCAGTAATGGTTCTAAAAAGAACTGATGTCACTTTAACATGTTAGTATGTTCTAGAAAACAAAAGCACTTATGTGCTTTTCATACCTACTTCACTGAAAACCTTCCAAATATTTCGTGGTGAAAATACGCACAGGCATTTAGTATTTTCAGATATAGAGACTGCTGTATAATGTTTATGTGCTTTCTTTAGGTCTTCATCATATATTTTGGAAGTAATGTATACTCATAAGGGCCTGTGAACAAGTGATGACCACTGTGTGGAAGCTGTGTTGGAGTCTGGTGTACTATTGCAATATTATCACAAGATGGCATTATGCACCTGTTGGTTTCTAGTGATCAAGAGCCAAGATTTCTTACCTGTATTCAATGTGCTAGTTCTTATATAAAGAGTAAATGCAAAACAGACAACAGTAAGTGTTGCTATGGATAATACTAAATACTATATGAATAACTTCTGGATACTAAACAGACTTGCAGGTGATATTACAGGTGGCTAGTAAGTTCTGTGTACATAGCCAAGATGGAGGCCATAGAGTGCACATACAAAAAAAGCCGCCTGCTTGTTCATCCAGAGAGTGGGTTATATTGTAAGAGCAGTTAAAAGTAAGATTCCAGCAAGAAAGTGTAAAATCACAACTCTCATCAGTAGAAGATGCTATTAGTGCTTTAAAAGTTCTGTGATGCCTGTGTTGCTTTTAAAATACTAATTATATTGACCATCAGTATGCCTTTGGAATAGTTTAAGTACCTGTGCTGTTTTGTTTGTCTTTGCCCTACCTGTTTTAGCTAAAAATCCTGCAATAGGCTATTAACAAAACATGATGCTGTTTATGTAGGAATTACGTGCTGTGTCTTGTGCAAAGCTAGTACACTGTATTTAAGTCTGTTCTACTACTTGAAATCTGGCCCAAAAGAAAGGTAGCAAGAAAGTTGAATGTAGTTTCCAGGAACTGGCAAGTAGGGCCACACTTGAGCAGAAGCAAAGTGAAGATTACAGTATGTCTGTGTACACACTTAAGTCATAATGTTTTCCTTTAAATGTATTTTCTTTTGTGCTTTTTTTTGTGACTGAAAGCATGAGGTACGGAGCCCATGCTAAACTTCTGGCATGCTGAGCCTTACCTTGAAGAGTAAGAATATTGATTTTTCTCTCCAGTAGGATTTTCCTGGATTTTGAAATCACTGCTTTAGAAGCCGGATGTAGTGGATGAACTAAGGAAATAGGTGTTGAAAGTTTCTCAAAGTTGTCTCAGATGGCCTCTTCATATGCATTGTGAGGTCAGAAACAGAAGGCAGAGTCCTGCTGCTCTCTCAATAGGAGCTGAAGCAAGAGCAAAAATAAAATATATTAGGAGCAGTTACTGACATACTCAAAAAAGGAACAAAGTGAGAAGGAAGAAATTATTTAAATGTGGTTCTGCATCAAAATAGGCTTTTTTTCCCCTTCAATTCATAGGTCTGGCCAGGTGAGCGAAGTTATTCTTACCAGCACATCTTTGCAAAAAAGTAATGCTCAACTAATAAATCCTGTGTGATCAGCAAGGTCTGTCCTCACAAAAGCTTAGAGAGGTCTCTAAAGCCTGTCATCACTGATTTGAGAGAGTGTTTTAATGAGCAGTAGGGAAGTAAGTTGCAATCAGTCAAGGATTTCCACTTAAGAGAGATGGGATACTGAGGAGGAAAGTGATGCTGAATATGATAATGCTTAGTATTGCATCAGAGTGAGATGGAGAAACTTTTGATCAGCTTCTAAGCAGCTCTTCTAGAAGTGTTGTGGTTTAGCCTGTGTGGTAGCTAGGCACCACACAGTTGTTTCCATGCTCTCCCCCTTCCAAGTGAGATGGGGAGAGAATTATTTAAAAAAATGAAAGTAGAACTCAGGGGTTGAGATAAACTAAAAGGAAGAGGAAAAAATGATATTGTTACAATGATTATATCTATAACAGGTGATACACAAGTGATTACCACCCACTGACAAATTAGCAGCTGGTCCCTGAGCAGCAGCAGGTCACCCACCAACTCCCTCAGTTTTTCAAACCTTCATTCTGCCAGATGTCAGCAGGAGAAGCAGAGAAAACTGAAACATCCTTGACTGTACTGCTCTGCTCAGCAACAATTAGAAACATCAGTGCTATCAATGCTGTTTTTCTCCTAAAACCAAAACAGCTTCATACCAGGCACTGTGAAGAAAAGCAACTCTGTCCCAGCTGAAGCTAAATAAGGAAAATGAGCCAAGACCAATACAGACTACTCTATCTTCTTTGCTTAGCAGTATACTCAAAACTGAAATTAATCATGTAGAGCGGAAGTGCAGGTAAAGAAATACAGTTTTACTCTCAACTCTCATGAGGAATGAAGAAGAAGATAAGAGTATGACCCTGCCAGGGCAGCCAAAGATAAGTACTATGTTGACTACATCCGGTAAGGGAGAGACAGGGAAGAGTAAACTCACTAGTTAGCAATGGATTGAAGGGTTATGTTAATACCAGTAGATTCTAATGTGCTGCTCATTTATGAGATAAACATCCAATTTGAAAAGAATTAAAGAGGAATGTAGTGTCAAGTGCTCAGCAGAGTAGTAGCTGATTACTTTTGCATGGTGTAAGAAGCATAGCTGGGAACAGTAGCTCTAAAACCTGTCAGCTAACTGCTTTTTCCCAGGAGTACAGACTAGACAAATTAACTGATTTCTGTGGCACTTATGGATATTAAAGCAAGCTGTCTAAACTGCCATTCTTGTGAAATGAATCCCAGTGAGGCCACAGTTTGTTTTCTATTTTATTTTGTTTTTTTTTAAGGTTTTGTTCTGCCATCAGGTTTGAGTTTTAGGCGCCAGCTCTGACCACTGTCACTATGGTCTCAATTTTCCTTGAAGAAAATGGATGGAGCTTTTGCAGTGTTGTGTCTGTGGCAGAAGAACACATGTGATTGCACCTCGTCTATTTTTGGACAAAATCATCACTGTTTTTCTGTTTTGTTTTCACTATTTCCTGATTCCCTACTAGCTTACTTGCTGTGTGAACAGCCGTAAAATCTTCTCTCAGTGTACAACAGAACTAGACTGCATGAAGAAGAGCAGTTGAGAAAGCTTCGTTGGAACCACCATCATTAAAAGCTCATCAAAACAAATTTTTTTTTTAGGACTTTTTAATGGCAAAAAAACACAACTGCTTTTCTGTGCATGCAAGTTTGTCTGGGATGCTCTTTTATGTAGTGTATAAAATTCTTAGGATGAAACGAGCAAAGGAAAAGGTAAAGTCCAAACGTAAAATTATCCTTTTCTAAGAACATTTGTGATGCTTGGAATTAATTGACTTTATGAGATGGTACAGCTTTCAATTTAAGGTATTTCCACTGAAATTGGAAGATGAAAGGAATATTTCTTTGATCCTGCTCAGAAATGTCCTGTTTTCCAGGCTAAGATATTTAGAATTCCAGGTAGGTATAACTACTTTTGCCTTAATAGAATAGCCCTGAGTTTACCAGCAATCATTTAATAATAATGAAATACCCAGCAATAAGTAATAAAAAGTATGTTATATGACTGTAATTACCCAGCTTCATACTAAAGTAATAAAATATCACAACCACCTGAGTACGTTCAAGTAGTTGACTGTGTTATAACATGTAACTGTAATTTAGTTAGGCTGTGAGCCTTGTGTAGCAATCAATGCAGTTTAGATACCCATGGCATTCTGAGTGCGTCAAGTTTGGTACCAGCAGACTCCATGATCTTGGAGCTGTCTACTCTTTCTGCCATGCTACAGATCCCAGATAGCTCACACTTGTTACTGGCTTCTGTGCTGGTAAAAGGAATGCATAGTGAGTGATGTAGTTTTGCAAGCAAGTCTTGCACCAATAGTGAATCTGAATTTGTCATTCCTGCTGGACCTTAACTAATATTAACTGTCTTTAGTACAGTGTTTTCTGGTATCCCCTATTTAGCATTTGGGTGTTGTTTTTTTTTCTTTTTTTTTTTTCCTACTGGCCCAAATTCCTTTTGTGTTCCCGGAACCTCTCCCATCATCTTGGAAAAGAGTTGACTGAACCTAGAAGAAAAATTCTACAAGTTTGAAAATGTGAAATAGATTATGATATTTACTGCTAAATTCTAGCATATCTCCTAATGCTGAATTGTATGATGACAGAAAAATCTGAATTTTTTTTAAATATTGTGATAGATGGGAAAGCTATTCTTTGATGAATTAAAAAAACCTATCATGAAAACCTTAATATGAGTAGGTAAAATCATTACGAAAAGTCTTATAGAAATGAACAGAGCAAAACCAAGTTTTTCTTCAGACATTAACACTGAGGCATTATGTATGTCCACTGACTGGTTTGCTGTGGCAGCAGGTAACTCACTGAGTATAGGGTAGATGACCATATATTATTTTTCCTGTGAAATAAAAAAATTGATCGATGGTAAGCAAAAATAATTGATGATCTTGTGTCTAATGCAGAGAATGAGCACACTGAAGGTCATCATTTTGGAGAGCATATATGAAGTAATTCCCTTTTTTTTTTTTTTTCCTCATATCTGAGAGGAAATCTTAGATTTTAATGGGTGGAAAAGAAGGAAAACAAAGTTAATTCCTGAGGCGTTACAGAGTTGACAAAGAGAATATTTGATGATTTTTTTTTTTTCTTATCAACCAAAAATTTTCATGCGGATGTTCAGTTTAATCATTCTCACTTGTCAAAGAGGGACACTGTGGTACAAGGAAGACCTGACTTAACTCACACCAAATGCCGTGCTCCTGAGGGCCTTACCACAGCTTGCTCTGTCCCTCTTCCTCATCCCATCATGGTATCTGGTCTGGAGGCGATGTGCAGTGCTGACACAAGGGCTTTTCCTCAGCTGGCTCTGGTATCACTGCTGCTGGCTCCAAGGCAGCCCTGTTGCTGTGCAGCCTCAAAGGGTGTCCATCTTGTTTCACTTCAGGTGAGCTGTTGTGAGGAGGACAGGAAAAAGGAGGTGAGGAAGCAGAAAGGAAGGCCGATATCCTGCTTAGCAGAAGGTTCTGCAAGCTTGTGTGGCAGTGTGGGCAGCAGACTGGCTGGGATGGCGGAGCACAAGGCACCTCCCTCAGCCACGCACGGGGCAGCACTGCAATAGGTGTGTGTTCTAAATGAGCTTACAGCTCACCATTCTGTCTGCACTGACAGCCTCAACAGGGTGTCATTGTGTCAGTACTACATTCAGGGGGTAAGCTGCAGGTACGCCGCTATGCGGAGCAGCCTACACACAAAGCAAGGTGTGCCTGAGGGGTCAGAACTCTTTTTTTTTACAGAACGTGTTTCCTGTTATGTCTATGATTTAATGCTGTGTAAACAGTGTAGAAATCTGTTGAAGGAGATGGGATTCAATATTTTTACTTCCCCATGCGGAAAGACCTCTGTTGGTATAAATTGCTTTGCCACAACTGAAAGCTGAGATCTGGGGGTTTGTTTTTCTTGTCCTGAGTGATTGAGCTGCGCCTGAAAAACGTTAAGTATTATGTTCTTATTCCAAAATAAATATTCGTGTTTGGACTTAATCAAGAATAGATGAATCACTTCAAAGTCACAGTTACTTGCTCAAGTGTAGACAGAACCCAATGTGGTCTGGGGACTTTGTGCTTGGTTTTAAAGGGAAATGGCTTCTCTATTTGTTATGTTTGGACTGGTGTTAACTATAGGCTCCCTAAATCATCTAGAGCTGTGTTCACGTCTGAGCACAGTTCTTTCACTCGTGTATCCTGGCCTCATACATTTTTATTTTTAGGTGCCAATGTGAGAATATGTGTATATTGCAATCTTCATCTCTTTCTCTAAATTCTGTTCTTAAAGCACACGTTGTGCTATTCAACCTCTGCTGAAGGAAACATAACCACACAGCTGTACTTAATCAAATTACATAAAAGTTCTACATTTCAGTGTCACTCTAGCTCCACTGGCTGTTCCTAGTTTACAGTCCATAGAGACACACATGACTTCCCAGGACAGAACCAAAATGGAAATGTTTTGATAATGGTCATGTTTTTCTTCCTTTTTGCGCTAATTAAAAAAAATATTTCAATTAGAAGCATTGTTTTGAATGGCAAGTAACAGGAACTATTTCCTATGAATGAGCAGTGCAAAGTTATCCTCTTCCATCCCTTAATATTTTATAGAATCATCATCTTCAGGATAAACTCTTCAGACTCTTGACTTCTGGTTATGGGTATGAGTACAAGATTTTTGTGGTAAATTCAAGAGTTTGCTATCAAAAGAAGTTTGTTCTCTACATTATAAGATAGGCTTTATGTAATATAAGCGGTCTTATTCACATTGTGAGAAAAACTACAAGTGAGTCTTAGCATTCAGTGCTGGTGGTGCTGCTTTTCCTTTTTCTGGCAGTGCCATATTAGGGCAGTCAGGTTTTTGGAAGAGCATTTCTGAACTGCCCTTTGCAACAGCAGAGAAAGTGCCTGAGAAAGTTCCATGAAAAACAGTGAATCATGCACTGTCTTTCTAATTCTGACAGTGTTTTCTTCTGTTTCACAAGCTCACAGACTGTGTTTGCTATGAATGCCTTTCTCACTGGATTATTTCTGTAGCTGCATCCAATGCCATTTTTAGATCTGGCTCTGATTTACGTTCGGAGTGGTTCCGATTTTTAGGACACTTGTAGCTCCGCTGCAACTCATGCACATATCCTGTTATTCTAATAAATGATATTTAAAAGAATAATTACCTTGCAACTCCAAACACTACCTACTGTGCTGTGTGAAACTGTGGAGACTATGGTAGGGGATTCTGCTATCAGGAGGAGTATGGATACAAAACTCAGATGTTCAATTTCTTCCTTTTATCAAAGAATATGAACCCAAGGCCCTGGCAGCAGTGCAACTAGCCACGTCCAAAGTGTTTTTTCTGTGTGCTCAGTTCTCTGCATCTATTTTGGGAAGTAATTCTATGGACACAATAAAATATTGCATTGCTCAAGCAAAAATAATAATGATGAATATATAAAAAAAAAAAAAAGATGGATTTTAGATACGAGCATTTTTCACCTTTCTGTGTATGAACTGTTTATGAATGGTGTTCCATTGTACTGCTGAAGTTTCAGAGCTGTGTGCAATAAGCCAAGTTTTGCTGTTTGCATTTATATCTAAATTCTGCAAGGTTGCATTATCTAATTTTTAATGGCAATTTAAAGGTAACGTTTTGAACAATAAACTGTTTTTTGAATACGTTGCTTCCCCTTTTTCAGTCTTCACTTGAATTTTAGTAGTTTAAGTTTTTTAAATGCACTGAAGACAAAAAAAAAAAAAGTTATGTTTTTAATAAAAAAATAGAAACTATTCTCCAATAATATCAGATTTGCTGGAATAGACTGATTAATTTTTTATCTGTCACTGTGGTTGAAGCCCAAAGCAAGCTAATTTTGCTGCCTAACTATTGGATGAACATGCATTATTTGAAATATTTAGTCTTCACTTTATTAATTTTAAGAGGAAAGCTTGTAGGCATAGACTCCTCCCCTGCTCTTTAAAACAAATTTTGAAGATAAATCCAAACTCTGTATGTTTTGATTCTTAAATTTTACTGTGACTCTGATGGTCATAAAGCCATTTAAAAGTTTCTGGAAACGTAAGTAGTGATAGCATTCTCATATCTGTAGAGGGAGCCACTTGTTAATTCTTCAGTTCAAAGGTTGCACTCTTAGTCTCCAAAGAAAAGATAGAATGTTATAAATTATACACAGACTTAACAAATATTTTCACAGTTACTCACTGTTAGTGCATAAGTTCACTGTCTGTCTTATTGTATCAATTTACACCTTTACTGGCATCCTCACTGTCATGTTTTATCATTCCCTTTTGCTTCCTGGCTCAGGGATGGTACATTTTTTTTTTTTTAATTTGCTAACAGTTCAGTTTTGAGATGAGGGTGAAATTGGTAGTAACATATTTGCATTTGTTATGAGGACTCTTAATTCAATTTTGCAATGAGAAATTCTCTGTTTGGAAAACTCTGCTATCCAAAAATTAAGGTATCAGTGCATAAAGAAGAAAAAAAAAAAAATAGAGTGAGAGGGATTGTGTAAAAAATCAGACATGATACCCCAGAGACACAAGTAACAGGAGAGGAGCAGAGCCTGCCTACATTTACCAGAACCAGGTATGAAGCAAAGCAGAATCCAGAAGCAGTGAGAAAGTTCACAAGATGAAATGACACTGAAACCATTCTTGAATCTGGAGGAGCGCTACTGCTCCTTGAGTCCAAATGAGCCTCAGTCACTTGTGTGCCTTGCAAAGGCAGAAGAAAATAACGAATATCTGTAAGGCAAGAGCATGAAGGTCTGGCAATATTTTTGTAGAGGAGGAGGAGATACATGGTGGTTTATAAATACTTCTCTGTGGGAGATCTTTGCAGCAGAGGGCCTTGAATTAAAAAGAGCACATCAGAGTCCTTTGCCAGATCTCCTACTGGCAGAACACCAGGAATATGGATAATGACATTCCTGACATTCTGAAGTGTTGGGACTTTAAAACAGTAATACTTGACAATTCTTGGAAAGAAAATAATGTTTTCTGTTTCAGATAAAGCTACTCAAGTATTCTTTACATTAGAGATGCACAATTTTCTGTATTTTAACTTTTTAGCCAACTTTTTAATTCTCTTGGCACAGATGCAGGGAGGTCTAGCAGCTGCTAGTACCTAACAGAAATTTCCAGAGCCTGGTAACTCAGTTTGAAACACATAATTCAACACTCAGTTTCACAATGTTTAAACTTTTTTCCCTTCTAGAGTTGTGCCAGAAACTGACATTTGAGTACACGATTAAGGACATAGCACTGAAAATGAAATGGTTTAAGACAATACTAGTGTGGACATGCAACAAACTTGTAGAGTTTATCCTGATTCAGTGTGCACACAAACGATTTTGTTTGAAAATTTTCAATGCATTAATTTTGACTAAAAAATCACTTAGAGCTGTAATTCATAAGTGGTACCTGCTGGAGTGGCTTAAAATGCTGCTGGTGTTAATCTGGGGAGATTCACTTTAGCTACCCTTGCTGCTGCAGGAGTGTCGTGTGCTGGTGCCTCCATTGTCACAGCTGGCATATTGCCTTTAACTGCTTTAGGTCATGAGTCAGTTCTTTGCTGTCAATAATGAGGTGGAGAAGATACAGAAGGTAGCTGACTATCCTTTGTTTTATAACATCCATCACTGCTAGGCTTTACACATGAAAATCAAATCAAGCTTTCTAGTACTGCAGCAACTTTAAATCTTCAAAATTATGATGGAGTAAAATGCTTCATATATAAACCCATGTGACGGGATTAGTCTCAGGGCCTTTCATGGACATTATTCCAGTAAGGGGTGAAAGTAGTTCCTGCTTCTGGAGCTATTTTGGAGAGGAGGTTAAGATTTATTTTAATATATTATTTAATTATATACAATTATATACAATTAATAAAGCATCTTAAATGAGATTGTGATGGTCCTGTAAAAAAATTATAGTCCTTTAGTTCTCTTATCACTGATGAGCCCTTGATTGCCTCTTGTTTGTATCACAGTGCACTAACAATAATACAAAGTGAGAAGGATGTAATAGGAGTCAGCCTTAAATTGGGTGCATCTGTTCATAAGCTGCTGGTGGGAAGAAGTGGTGACTTTCCAGTGGTTATTTGGTGCTGTAGTGGCTGAGACTGAAACAGGTATATTTCTTCCCCTCCTAAAGCAGAGGAGTGATATCTTCTCATTATTAGAACTGCTATTTAGTTCTAGTCGTTATGGATTAAATACTAGTGTTGCATGCAGGTTTTCTTTCCCTCCCATAAAATGACAGGTAGACATTGCAAGTTTTGTTACGATAGTATTTCCTAATACTGTAAACATACAGAAACATTCCTGTATATGTAAACATTTCTTTAAATAGTATGAAGATGATTTCACTTTCTTCCTGAGGGAAACA